GAAGTTCTCTTGAAATAGCAACTTTTTGTAGAATTTAATACTTTACAGCAGTGAACTAGGTTAAGTGCCAAGGCATAGAAATAATTTTGGGAGAAATCAGTACTCCAGTTTGTTTCCTAAAATCCAGCCCTGGTGTTCTGCTGCAACCTCAGTTTGTGCTCGTTTTCATAAATCCTTACATCAAAAATCACTGCTACTGTGATTAATTCATCATCCTTTTAGGGACTGGAATTTTATTTGTAAATATCACTCTTTTGGAGGGAAGCAATATTAAATTCTTTAAATAAGGATGCATAAAAATTATTATGAAAGCTTTCTTCTGTAAAATACTAGCATCCGGTTTCCTCGGACTAGTTCTTTAAAATCCATTCTGTTTATAGATTTGTGAACTATTAATATTAAAGAGCTATTCCATGATTATGAAATCCATTTGCAGCAGAATATTTCTCTTTGGGGGGCAAAAAGAGGTCGTTTCACAGTCTAGAAAATTGCAGTACATTGTTCTGTCCTATATTCTTAATCTCCAGTTATATAAACAGTTTTATTTATTCTCCAATTCATTTTACATCTGGATCTCTGATTAAGATTGATCCTCAGCTACCGTCCCCTTGGTCTCTGCTTTGCACTAATATCTAGCAATCATTTTGTCAAAATGACATTCTTCCTAGCCATCTAGAATGTTGAATTCGCTTTAGCTGATAGGAACAGCTGTCATTTCAAGCTAATGAAAAACTGTCAGTTGGGCATTGAATTAGCATTATTTTATTTCAGAAAATGTGTTCATGGTATGTCAGGTTTGTTCATTTCACAAGTAGCAAGCTTACATGGCTAAACACAAGGTGCACCCAGGCAGAGAGGTGCTTAGACTCTGTCTTTTGCAGGAATAGTTCAGGATTTGTTCCACTGTTTACAATCCCTTCATTTTACAAACTAGGAAAGTCAGACTTCAGAGAAGAGTTGGAAGGAGAGTGGAACCTCAGTCTTCAAAACAAGTTTTCTCTCTGTAGTAATTCTTAAGCCTTTTTCCCTTGTTCATTTTCAGTGTTTGTTTTTTGTTTGTTTGTTTGTTTGTTTGTTTTTTAGGGGGGGAGTTTGTTTTGTTGGCTGGTTGGTTGGTTTGGTTTTGTTGGGCTTTTTTTGTTACATTTACGTCATTCTTCCCAATCCTTTTTTTTTTTTTTTTTTTTTTTTTTTTTTTTTTTTTTTTTTTTTTTTTTTTTTTTTTTTTTTTTTTTTTTTAATGTATCCCCATACTATTATAAATAATATTACCATGGGGGAAAAAAATTGAAAAAAATAATTTAAATTCATATGTTGTAAAGCCCCAAGTGAGAGTACGAGAAATAGATTATTTCTCAGAAGCTAAGGAGAGAAAGTGTTGCCAGTATGGATCAGACACAGCACAGTTCAATTTACTTCTTATGGCTAATATAGAGCTTGGAATGTAGCTCAGCTAATGTTCCAAAAATGTATGCAAAAGAGATCTTTATAGTTTGCTCTGCTTTTATTCTGTATGTTCTGATTTTATTAATAAAATATGGTAGGTTAACTGTTTGATGTATAGTTTCAAACAGGAAGGAGCTTTTTTTCATATGTCTGAATGAGGCCATGCTGCCTGATACAGTTATGCAAGCTGTAGTTTGCTTGTACACCTGTCTTTCTCATGTACTTTTCATGCCAAAGTTTGACACTCATTGTAAAGCTGAGGTATGTCTGTGTCATCCCTCTTGGTTTCATACTCGTATAAAAGACACAGCATCTTACATAAAATAGGAAACATATTTCATTTTTTGCCAAGCTTGATTCTTTTCATGTGCTCTAAAAGAAGAAAAGTTTTCCTACTTTTTCTGGTATTTCCTAAGCAAAGGGGAAAAATTGGGTGTTTTTTCTCTTTCTGCATGTATAGTAACTTTTTCCCCCTGTTCATATCCGTGATCTTCACCTTTTAGATACCTGAAGAGTGTACAAGTGTTGCACAAAAGATTAATGTGTGTTTCGCGTTAACTGATGTAACAATTACCTTCGTTGTACTTGGCAGTGAGATGGATTTATCACATGGTTAAAACACAGGGATTTCTTCACTTTTGTCATGCGACTTGAAGTCTGGATTCACACGTTTACGTATGACCAACCAGTATACCTTTTTATATAAGAGTAGATCTGAAGCAAGGTCACTTTTCATCAGAATTACACTAATTTTACACCAACATGAATGAAATAAGAATATGGTCAATAGTAATTGGACATCTTGCTTTTAATTAGTTATTTTTCAGTACTTTCAAGTTGTAACTCTGGAAAGCACTGTGAGAAATAAGTTTTCTCAGACTATGCTAATTGGTCAAACATCTTCTTATTAAGTTAACCTGTGCTGGGACAGAACAGAGAAGTCAGAGTCTTTTACAGGAGGGAATGAAGTTACACTCTAATTACTGAGGATTTGGCCATGCCATTTAATGTGTCACGTTTTCAGTTTTTCTGAGTGTATTTCCAGCTTCCCTATTGGCATTTCTCACTATCCTCATATTGCTTTTACTTCCCTCTTTCCCTTTTTCACTTCTGAAAAAATATTAATATAGGAGAACAATTGTGCATATACATATAGTTATAAGTACATCTGTTTTTTCTGAAGCATTACTCATGTAATGTATTGTTTCAGATTTCTGCATCTCTCAAGTTTTTAGGATACTTTAGTAACATGCAGAAGAAACTTACAACCACATTCTAATGCTTGCATATTCACTGCCTTGTGCAAATGTGGCCAGTAATTTAAGGGAATCAGCATTTCCTTAGGTAACATTACAATTTCTTCAGTTAATGCTAGTCTAGCTGTTTTTTACTTTATTTCTTTTCCCCATTCTCTACATTTTGTTTGAACTACATTGTTGAAGTGTTTTAATGAGAACACACCTGAGCTTTTTTTTTGGTAGGCTTTTTTTGTTTGCTTGGGTTTTCTTCTGGTTATTTGGGTTTTTGGTTTGGTTTGGTGTGGCTTTTTTAATACTCATAAGTATTTCAGTCTTTCTTCTTCCACTAAGTTGATCAGTGAATTTATGTATATATCTGTTTAAAAAAGCATTTAAAAGGAGCTGTGTATTTGCATGAACTCATGTCTAGACATTGTATGTATTAGATTTCAGTTGTATTTTCTTTCTAGAATTTCTGTTTAGTTGGTTCTGAATGTATATATATAAAAAACATTCTTAAGCTCCCTTGAGAAACAGTTACTCCACTTATCTGAAAATGACCGCTTGCAGATGAGTACAAATGCACAGTGAGATGGAAGCATAACAGTCAGGTCTCTGAAACATTTCTTTTGATGGCAAGGTCATCTTTACCTCTTACTAGTCTTTCAGGCCTGATAGTCCCACAGTAGAGTGAGCTGAGTTCTGGTCCTTTTACTGAATGATAGGTGAAATTTTTCACTAAGTTCCAGATGCTAGATGCTGCTCTAATTTCTGCTTATGCAAAGCCATGCAGGCAGTTTGCTTTCAGAGGGTGGACATGAAGGCAGAACCTGCAGAGTATTTCACATTCGGAATAATATGGGAACCTACATGAGCTTGACAGGGCTAGCCCTTGCAAAAAGCATTATTTGAGTCACAAACTGAATGCCAGAAGCCATTGAAACTATGTAAGCGCTGAGTTGTATAACAGAATTTTTGCAGGTTTTACTAGAGATATGAAAAGCAATAAAAAATAAAGAACAAAGTTCTTCAGTAACCTGTGAAAAACAATCGGATGTGAGTTAATAGTAAATACTTTGGATTATTAACCGTGCAGTAAAAATAAATTAAAATTATTAAACCAGTGTTCCTGGCATAGGCAGACAAGAGGGTGTTTAACAAAAATCAATGGCTAGCAAATTTAGAACAAATGGAAGTAATCACTATTCCAGCATTATGTTTTATTGAATTAGTTGTTTTTTGTCATTACATAAAATGTTTGTATTTATAATATTTGAGATAATTTTATGATCATCAATAACATTTGCATTTTTGTTACCATGATGAAAGTTTTAAAGGATAGTTCCCATATGTGATATAAAAAAGTTTTCCATAGAAGTTACTGAAGTAATGACTCTATCTACTGTTCTTGGTAATGTCTTTTGGTGCAAGATACTGTTCATCTTGTATTGTCTTTTTTAGCATGTTGGAGCTTATTTTCCAGGCTGAGTTACCCTAGTTTATGTCCCTTCATCTTTTTTTCCTGTCAGCTCCTTACTTCTGTCACTTGACCAAAGGGGAAAAAAAAAAAAAAATCATTGTGTCTTGATATCAGTGAAGCTGTTGACATGAAATTTTGATTTATGACATGGGGGAATACAATCTACTGTGTCAACATTATATTCAATACACAACCAATGAAAACTGGACTAAAAAATAAAAAAGGGCTTAAGACCAGCCTTCAGCTGTGGAATTCTACAAAGACTTGAGATGAAGACAGTGTCTCTAACTTAGAGGAGATCTATCCACCATAACAGGCTATCTAAGGATGTTGCAGAAACTTATTTCCTGAACATGTTAGATTAGCCATCTCCCAAAGACTGTCTACGTATATATTTAGTCCAGCTTCAAAGTAGGGGGCTAAGTTAAATGATACATAGAAGTCCTCTTTAGCCCAAGATTTATCTCCTCTTTATTTTTGAGTCTTCCTGTTGTTTTTTGCGGAATCATATATAGGTTTCTCATTGTACCTATTTTAGGAGGAGTAGGTTAATTTTCAAAGTTGGAATATAAAATTTTAAATAGCTATCTATCAGTTTTAGCACTATAGCACTGGAACACTTCACATTTATGCAAAAAGGCAAAAGTACTGTGTATTAATTATCATATTGCTAAGTTACCTTGTAATTCATAAATGCTTTTTGTTTCACTGTGCAAACTGCAAGGTATAAAATATAGTCAGTGAATCACAAATAACTTTTTAGTCCTTGAGTTACTTGCAGAAGTGAATGGAGTTGGAGTAGTACAGTAAATATTCTGTTTATTTTGCTTCTACAGAAATGTAACTTGTGCAGACAGAGAGTTAAGAAAATCTCTGGTGCCTGCATTCAGTGTTCATATGGACGCTGCCCGGCATCCTTCCATGTTACCTGTGCCCATGCTGCAGGAGTGCTGATGCGACCCGATGACTGGCCATTTGTTGTCTACATGACGTGTTTCAGGCACAAAAGCAACCGCAACGTGGTAAGGAATGTGTTTCGTTACTTGTTGAAAAGTGGAATTTCAAAATTAAAGTATATTTCCAGAGAAAACGGAAGAAGGGATCCACACTATGTATTATAATAGTTCTGGCTGTCATATTTCCATGCATAGCAATCTATTACATTTTGAGAATTTTTCCTTAGCCTGTTACCTGGGAGAAATGATACCTGGTATGCCTAACAGGTTTTTACATTAAAGTCCTTGTTGAATATATTGTTTTGACAGCCAGAACACATCCCTGAGTTCTCTTGTTTTGTTAACCTGAAGTGTATTATAAATACCCAGATCATAATATCTTGCAAATATTCACAGATCCTGTGAGATAATGGATATGATGTACATGTAAGATCTTTGTTCTGCAGCCAAACAATCTTTTGAAAATACCCAATTACAATTATTCTATCATGTGGCAAAGTAATGCTGGCATGCCATGAAAATTCATGTTATGACTGCCTTTTTATTTCTATCCTGTGCTGGGGAGGAACTTTTAAATTTAGCTGAGACACGTGAAGAATTAGTTTAATCTCTTTTATTTAAATTCATGGTTACTATCTCAGTTAAGAGAAAACTTTTTTTTTTTTGTTTGTTTTCTAATAAACTAGAAGGTCTTAACACGGTCTTATTAAGGAAAGAGCTATTAAGGAAAGATAAGTCAGTTAAATTGCAATTTTTTTCTCCTTTATACATTAGAAGTGAAAGACATAAACCCAGGTAATGTCTTTATAATATATTTTGGTCTTTGTAGTGCTTGTTCGTGAATCTTGTCTTAATGACAAGACTGCTGAAGAGTAAGATTGCATTTTGAGTGTAGTAAAATGTGAAGCCTCCCAATTAGAGTAATCTGTCCTGAGTGTTTAATCTGCAGGTGGTTCTTCAAAAGGGAGATATATTGTGTATGCCTATTTAAAATTTCCATTGAACTGTTAAATTTTTTGAATATTTTTGTTTTCCAGAATGAATGACCATGTTAAACCAGTAAACTTTATATGGTTTTAGTTTCTTCAAGCATTTTTTAAGAAAATGAGTTTGGTTTGAAAAACAAACAAACAAACTTAAATATCTGTCTGTACAGGCAATGTAAGGTATTTCCTTGGGTTTTTTTTAAACATTATTATTAGTTCAAAATTACTGGATTAAAATCATGGCCAGTAAAAATAGGTCTGTTCTTCCCAAATGTGTTCTAATATTTGTTTGGGACAAATCTTTATATTCTAGATAGTGGGAGTTGCATCAGTCCCATTAATTACATCTTTTCTTAGTGATTTTGTTGACCTCTATTAAGTAGTGTCAAAAGAAAAAACCACCAACTATGAAGAAAGAGGATTTTATGTGTCTGCTGTTTAAGAGCTTGTGTGAAGGACATTCAAAGTAGCTTGGAATGAGACTATTATATCCTCTCATGAAACTCAGCGCCAACCTTTTTGAAAAAAAATCAGTATTGTTACCTTTTTTCCCCAGGTTCAAATAAAAATCAGGTTTGCAAAAGAGAAAGAAAAATTATGCTTTTGTGTTTTCAATTGGGCCAAAACTTGGAAAGGTCAGATACTTTATTAAAGAATCTTTTTCTGTAAAATTCTTAACTTACTCCTGAGACAAAGGAGGTTGCCATATGTTATTATATGCTTGGTTTTATACTCTGTCTTTTACATAATTAATCTAATCACATTTTTAAGCCTTTGGAAGTTTTTTCACCATTGATTTTCTTGTTGTGCTTTACTTAGCTATTAGCTATTCCTTCAAGCAGAAATTACATTGCTCTTCACTGTTAGGTATAGCAATGTATCTTCTAATGAACTTTTTTTTTTGCTTGTTGTTTTAGCTTCCTTGCTTAAAAACATGGATTTGTTTTGATCAAAAGAACTCTTTCATACACAAGAAAATGAGAAAAAGAAGTTGCATGCAACTGTTCTAACAGGGAAAAAAACCCCCACTACCCAAAAAATACCCCAAAGCCACCCAAAAAAAGCTCCCCAAAGGATTCATAATATCAGCAAAGACAGCACTGAGGATCAGCGAAAGCTAGCTGGAGACAAACGCATACTGAGAGCTGGTGTTTCATTTGGGAATGGTGAACAGAAGAGGCTATCTAGACAGCCTCAGTTACACTGAAAGACTAACAATCTTTAGAAAGGGCAAAGACAGGAGGTGCCAAAACCTGCTGTGGCTGCTTTTGGAGCTATTTAAAATTATGTTCTACTATTACTGGCCAGCTGTTAACCTCTCTAGCACACATGGAATGAAGGGGTGCTGTCAAAGGGAAGGTGTAGAACCTTCTCCTGGTGAAATACCTGAGTTACGCATTGTTTGCCACTGTCTGCTAAGTACTGCCAGCCCTTGAACATTTCAGAGAGACTAGGCATGCCTTCAGAAGGATGTGTTATTCAAAAATCACGAGCTGGCTTATTTTTGAAATGGTGTGCATAGTTTCTGTGCCTGAATTAGAGTTCCAAGGAGTAAATGATGACAAGAGAGTTATGCTTCTGTAAGTCTCAGCTTACTCAAGCTCTCTCCTGTTTGCCTCTTTGAGGATTCCCTCCTGAAAAACTTTCTAGGTATTTAGACATACATCAGATACCTATTTCATGATAGGTATATGTGAATTCATGTACACAAAGTTTATATATTTAACAAGGGGTTTATACACTACCATACAGAAAATGAAGGAGAAAGAAATTTTGCCTCTTATCTTTTTGAAGTTTGCACACAGAAGGAGAGATGAGCTTTTTTTCTTTGTATCTGGTTGTTTTCTGTATTTCTGCCACTATCTTAGCTGATCCTTGGCTTTCATACCATTAAAGAAAATCATACTTTTTAAACCACATCTTTCTCAATAATCTGGTAACTACCACAGCTGTTTCTTTAATCTGATAGACTCCCTTACATAACAACTGTCCTTTCTGATCAAAAATGACGCCCTTAATATCAATAAATTCTTAAGATTTTCTGTCAGGAAATGTTTTCTGGGACATGCAATCAATTACAGAGTGTGCTTGGGAATATTTTTCTCTGAGAAATAAATCAACAATCCTACCAAGATAACATACTAAGAAATAATCTTCTCCTTGAGCTAGAATGCATTTCTGGGTTTTACTATTTTTTAAATGAAAAATGGCATTTATCCTCTGAAAATTTTATCATTAAAAGAATCTGTATTGTCTCTTAAAATATTATAGTTTGCCCTCCATCTTCTTTCAGAGAAGATTTAAACCTTTTAATAGAACTATATCTTCTTGGGTTTCTATAATATAATACTTTTCTATTATCTCATATAAATAAATCAATTAGTAGTCTTCAGTTTACATCTAATCTATTCCCCTGCCCCCAGTGGCTGAGTAGGCTAAGGTCAAGAATTGAAAGGTAGGGTACACTTATGTTTACATATATTTCAAGACTGGATAAAATATGCTAATTGATATTTTATAAGTCTTGTAGTAATACCAGTCAACTGCTGTTTATGTAGTTGATTCTTCTACTTAGTCTGACTAGAAACAGGTAAAATGAGGAGGAAATAATTTTATTATACATGTAAAGGTTAAATAATTTATGAGTATGCTCAGAACATTATTTGTAGGTAAACTTGGTAATGCTGTAGGAACATCACTGGGTTTTACTATCTGAGGTGACTTCAACTAAATCCTCCAAATGCGTATGACAGGCAGAGCTCTGACACAGAGATTTAGTGCACTGCCTGTAGAAATGGTACAGAATTTTTGTACTTCGTATGCACTTAGTTTGCAGGAGCAGAGAGGTTTAAAAATTCTAAATCCCATAAATAAGTCCAGGAAAGAGGCCCAATAGTGATGACAGTCATTGTAAAAATGGAAGTCTTCAAGTTTAGAGTGGGTTTTTCCTCCTCCCCTGAAGCATTGACCATACTGCTAGTACTTGGAATTTAACAAGAGGTAATGCTATCCTTGGTTCTCTTTGATACTAGTGATAAAAGTCCTACAGCTAATAGCATTTTCCAGATTTTCGTAAGACAGTTTTGAAACTCTTATACTGGATGAAGAATTCACTGCGTTTGAAGGTTTGAAAAACAATGCCAGGAAATTTGGTAATAATTTTAGTGTATATAGTGTATAAAAGCATTTTCATGCAGTTTATATAAACATATCTAATAAGAAATATTTTATGCTTATATATACCAGTGCATACGCCCTTTGTAGTAGCATCTTACATTAGCAGAAAAGCTCAATTGATCAGATATAACCAAACTCACAATAGCTCGCTTCTGTATAAACAAATGAACCTTTGTGAGATATTGAATAGACAGTCAGGATCAAAAGGCAGAAATGTGTGTTATTAAGATGAGAAGATAATGATTTTATTTTTCCTGGTAAAGAAGGTTGCTTTTAAAGTGGAAGGGTCAAGGGGATACAATAGTTGGGAGCTGAGATGTAACAGTTGTCTGCATAATGTGAGCTTGTTGAGCAATTGCTCACCTACAAGGTTCTGTCCTTTTTATATTTATAGAATCCATCAAGCAGTTATTGATGTAGAATTATTGCATAGTTTAACAACCCTGCTAGTCTTCTGATTGATATAACTAGCCCCAGGAGGAATTACAATTGGAAAGGGGAAAAAAAAATATTTTTACTGATATACTATGTAAATATGTGATGAAGAGTGCTCAGTGCTGTTTGAAGTTTTAAAGTTCTGCACAGTATGGATTAAGAAGTTTCTCTGATACACTGCTGTAGAAAACTCTGGCAAAAACTGGATATGCATTTAGTCATTGCATCCCATTCCCAAAATGTTAAGCTATTAGAATCATACTGGAATCCAGTACCTCAAAATCCCATCATTTGAAACAAAAATTCAAGACCATATTCTAGGTTCATCACATCTATGTCTTCAAGAAATTTCTACAAATTATTATACAAATAAATTTTTAAAATATTGCTGATTTTCTATTATTGATCTAATTCAGAATAGTTAGAAGGCATCAGTGGCAAAAATATGCTGTGATTTGGTATTCTTCAAATGTCACTTATTTTCTTACCAAATGGAGAAACTTTTTATGTGAAAGAAATTAGGGTGATCTTGATTGAATTAAATGGGTTTGCATTTGAAGTTTTTATGCTGAGTGGTGAACTGTTACCAGTCCTATTTTGACCCTGTTAAATTTCTGATGAATTATTTGGTATTTTAAATTTACCTTCTCTTTTGCATTCTTTCTTTTTTCAAGAGAGCTAAAGCATCTGAGAAGACCATTACAGTTGGGCAGACAGTCATCACGAAACATAGAAATACCCGATACTATAGTTGCAGAGTCATAGGAGTGACATCTCAGCTTTTCTATGAAATCATGTTTGATGATGGCTCTTTCAGTCTGGATACTTTTCCTGAAGACATTGTAGTAAGTACTTTCTGAGATACCTATTAGTTCTGGTTTGTTTTCTTGGTTTATGGTTTTGGGGTTTTTTGTTTGTTTGGTTGTTGGTTTTTTTCCCCTAATATTCACTGTTCTTCTTTTTTAAATTAGAGATTTGGAGCCTCTTGAACTACCTCTTTTGACCTTGAGGAAATGACATCTTAATATTCAGTTCATGTTTATTACTTTAACTTCTGAGAATGATTATTTTCTAATGGGCTTCCAAACCTTGCTTGTTGTAATTAGTCTTTACCATTTGACCAAATGAATCAAAAGTAATCTTATAAAATCTTTTAATTAAATAAGAAATACGTATTTAATAATAGATATGAGGGAGGGAATTCCATATATCCTTCTCTGTCACTAAGAGATAACTTGAAAAAATTCCTTGCAGAATAGAAAATTGCTCTAATGTGAAGAATACCTCTAAAGAATCTGTTCCAACAACTTGTTTACACCTTCTGATGTTTAGTTTGTGAGATTACATTATTCATGATAAAAATCATCAGGGAGAAGATAGTAGTTTATCTATGTGTATTGTCATTTATTACATTTTCAAAAAGCAACTGAGATTTTGATTTCCCTTATGCATTTACATAAACTGCCATGTTTCTCATAACTAAGGGCCACATCGTGCATTTGGTACATATAAACAAAATTTGCAGACAGTTGGGAAAGATTCTGTTTCCCTTCGTGTTTGCAATGAACCCACTGGAGGCTAAGCTTTGTGGTGTTTGTTGGGTGCCCTTTGACATCTTTCTCATGATATGACTCTAGTCCTTGTTTACCTTCATGATCTTCTGAGTCTTTTTTGGGCTAAGCTGGTATTTTTTTCATGTATCTCCTGATAATAATCTCTAGAAGTAAGAGCCTCCAGGGAACACTGGTATGCAAAAGTGCTGTTTGTAGCAAGACCACTTTTTGCTTAGCCCTATGTCCTGTTCTGTATGTAAAGGGGAAGAGTCTGGCATACTCAGTGGTGACAAAGAATGTGTGCTCTGCAGCTCAAGGGGCACAATTCCTAGGAGCACTCCGTATTTTTCTCCTGCGAAAGTCTCTGGGCTGTTCTGTTTTCTGAAGGCCTGATGTTTTCCTGTAAGCAGCATTAAGTGACAAATACGTCAGTGGAAGTGATGCTGTTGTTCTTAGAGGCTTCTTAGTAATTGAAAAGTCTGACGCCTTTTGAAAATATGGTATTTGAAAGGGTGCATTTCATAACAGTGTATAGAGATTGAGCTGTTTACCTCCCACTGGTCTGAATAGAAGTCAGTCAGTAATTCTCTCTTACATGTCTTTGAAAATTTATCCTTTAATTCACAACACTCCAAAAGGCTCCATTAGTGATCAAAGACATTCTGATTTAAGATGATCAAGATATTAAGTAAATGTGGCTGTATTGTTATTAGAAACCCCTCTTTTGTGAATCCTTACCATCAAGTATCTGGTAAGTCAGAGATGAGAAACTACTTGCTGTCCTAGTGGGGCAGTCTGATCTGAAGCTAAGAATAAATGTAATCAGGCCTGGATATGCCTCAGTGCTTCTCAGATAGTGGATGAACAACATATAATTGTTTGATGGAAACACCAAACGCATTTCACATTCCTTAGAGAAATCTTGTTGTGTTTTCATTAGATAATATACCTGCAGCAGTTACTGGAAGGGAAAAAAAGTGTTTTTTCTTCTTCCCAGACTAAAATTTACTAATCCATGCAATGTGCGTATCAGGTGTTAGTGCCGCTGGGAGGACTTATTCATCAAATCTGGTGTGAAAGCAATGTTGCTACCTATTGAAGAACTTATTTTCTAATCTGTTTTCACTTTTCAACTATCACAAAGATAGCAGGAGCTTTCTGCTTTTCCAGTATGTGCTGAATCCACTACATAATTTCAGCTCAGCTTACAATAGACCAGAATTCCAGTGTTCAGACACAGTGATTTATTTTTAAGAGGGAAAATAGGGAGCAGGCAAAGTTCTGTCTCAAAGCTTCATGAAACTCTGTTTGCATTCAATAGCAACCAAAGCAGAGTATACATTGTTGTCTTCTTATATGTATTTCTCTTGGTTTCTGTTAGCATTTGCTAAATATACCATGTTGGAGGTTTTTAAGTTAAATGTTAGCTATAGGCATAGATATTTAGATTTTTTTATTGCAACCTTACTTATTGCTTGGGTGCTATACCTGATTTCTACCCAGTCAGAATTTCTTAAACTAATCACTCCTCGATACAGGGTTTAAACCCATGAGTTGGCTTTTTGATGTGCTAGCCAGTCAGTTTTCCTTCAACCCAGCAGGTATAAGAGGGTGCAAAGAAGTATATGGATAACATTTTTTTTTCTAGAAGCAACAGCAGGACAACTTCCTCTTGTAATTCATGGAAAGACTGCAGTGAAGGGGAAAGTGTGTTATATCTTAAAGGAGGTGAGATGACAAGTTTAGCGGTTAGTTTAACGATGCATGCACACAAGTAGAGAGTGCATATGCTGCAGTCCTGAGTAACTGCTACCAGCAGACAGCCTGTGTGTGTGCCATTGGCCACTTCTTGAAGTATTAATGCTCCGTAACTTGTCACAGAGCCCCTAGCTTAGGTCAAGAGGAGTACTGCTCTGTCCAGCAGGACAGAGGTCAGTACACAGATTATGCATCAGGAAATTTTTCAGTTCTTTGGCCTGCTCATTTCGGGAGGGTGTCCCACAGTTCCTTTTCCTTTTTCTTCCTTTTTTCCTCCTGTTGATACCTGATGGACATATCTCTCTTGCATGTCTTAGCAGTTTGCTAGAAATTAATATTCTGGGTACATAGCAAGGAGTTGTATTTGCTTCCATATATATTGTGGTGGTCAATGTGCCTTAAGAGCAGGTATAATTAAAATATATATACATATATATGTAAGCTAGGATGAAGTTGTTCCCATATTATTAAAATTACAATTTATTAAAATCACAGCACAACAAGAGAGACTTTGCAGTATACCTGGGTGGAGGCAGAAAGATACCACCAAATTATATTGATTGCAAGGAATAAAAAAGATATTTGCAGGGTGAAGCATGCTTCGAGTCTGTAGAGAGTTTTGATCACAGGAATGCTGAGCACAGGTCTCCTGAAATGGTGAACATCATTCCAGGCCACTTGCTCCACTAAGTGCCCTGGTGCTTCAGTGAGCAGTTTACACAGAATTCTTTAATATGATTTCACCTTGTGGTTATCAAGCAAACTAGGTGACAAAAATTAATGTAATTACTCTTGCTTCCATGACATAACCACATTGTGTTTTAGTTTACTAGTAAGTGTATAAATGTAGGGGTTATCCATTGAAAAGATAAAGCTGGTCTGTGGGTAGTCATGTCCACAACCCAAAATGGACTTCACTTATTAAAGTCTATAAATTGAATTACATCATAAGTGGTCTTGTAGCTTATGGAATGATCCTGTAAATATTCCTTAAAAGCAAGAGCATCTTAAATGTTGAGGATGTGAGATGTGTTTGGAGGGACATTTGATCCTGTATTCAGGAGTTCATGAGGTTTTTTTGCAGAATCATATTATAATAATTTTCTGAGGTCCTGATGATATCCAAAAAACATCTTGAAGGAGGTATATATTAGTTTGGATTAAGACATTCAGATTGCAGCTGCCAAAAGCAGGAATAAGAATTATTTTTCACAGAATCATTTAGGTAAGTAAATACCTTTGAAGTCATGGAGTCCTACCATTAACCTAATACTGCCAAGACCATCACTAAACTATGTCCATAAATACCACCTCTACATATCTTTTAAATACAGCCAGGGTTGTTGACTGAACCTCCCCTAGTGCAACTTGAGGCCATTTTCTCTCATCTTGCCCCTTGTTACCTGAGAGAAAGAACTGATGCCACCTCGCTACTCCTTTCAGGTAGTTCTAGAAAGCAGTAATGTCTCCCCTGAACCTCCTTTTCTCCAGGCTAAACACCCCCAAATCCCTCAGCTGATCCTTATCTGCTTGTTGTGCTCCAGGATCTTCATCAGCTTTGTTGCCCTTCTCTGGACTTTTTCCAGCACCTCAATATCTTTCCTGTAATGAGGGGCTGAAAACTGAACACCGGATTCAAAGTGCAACCTCACTAGTGCCAAGTATAGGGGAGTGATCCCTGCCCTAGCACTGCTGGCCACACTATGCCAGGATGCTATTGGCCTTCCCCCGGTTTATAGCGCTGCCTGGGGTTGTTGAGACCCAAGGGCAGGATGCAGCACTTGTCATTGTTGAACCCCATCCCATTGGCCTTGGTCCATCAATCCAGTCTGTCCAGATCCCTCTGCAGAGCCTTCCTACTGTTGCCTGAATGACTGTGAGGAAAAAAAGACTCCAAGCCAAATTAGGTAGGAGATAAGATAAGGATGCAAAGGCTTTAATGAGCCCCCAGTCTTTCTGCAATACCACCAGTGTGCGCTCTGGAATACAGATGTTCACAGTTTTTATAATGATTTTCACCCAATCCCTGTCCAGCCACCACCCCGGTTCTGCCCCTGCAGTGCCTCTTGGGAGTTGGGTCTGGGGGCATTTTGGGACCCCCTCTTCTTCATCTTCATCTTCCTCAGAGTATGTAATGTTCTTAGAGGCCTTCCAGAATTCTAGGCCTGAAGGTTGTTGAGTCTATGGCTATATCTTCTTCCGTAGGGTTAGGGTATTCTCTATAATTCTACCTTGAAGAAGAGACAAAACAGGCTAGTGGAATTTATGGGAATTGATATGTGAATGAGTAGCTGGTATGGTAAAGGGTAAAGGGATAATATGGTGCTACTCTAAAATCTACATTTAGTACATAACTACTTCTAAGATCTACAAAAATTTAAAAAATCAAAACATCAAAACTCCAAGGTATCACTACCCTCCAGAAGATGAACATTTCCACCCAACCTGCTGTCTTCTGCACACTGCCTGAGGGTGCTCTTGATCCCCTTGTCCAGGTCATTGATAATAAACAGAACTGAATATCACTGATGTCT